CTATTCGTCTGTTTATTTCTACAGTATGATCATTGGTTTCATTGATCAAAGTTCCCAAATACTGATATTTTTCTACTTGTTCTATCACGTTCCCATTTATTGTCAATAGGTGATGTATATTTTAGGCCTTTATGTAATCAGCATGTACTTCGTTTTTTTAGCGTTTATAGTAATTCCCATCTCAGCACTATTTATACTCAAGCTTTCGATAAGATGTTGTAGATCCTCTATACTCGTTGCTATAATCACAGTGTCGTCTGCATATCTTAAATTATTAATTAATTTTCCGTTAACGGTGACTCCCGCTTCGATATTATTGAGCGTGTTTTGGAAAATTTCTTCAGAATATAAGTTAAACAAAAGTGGTGATAACACACATCCCTGTCTAACTCCTCTACAGATCCTCATTTCTTCTGAGTGTTGCCCATCAATTTGAACTATGGCACTTTGGTTCCAATATAATGTTTGCACTATATTTATGGTTTTACTGTCAATGCGCTTGTTCATAAGTATTGATATTAGTTTTTCATGTCTTACTTTATCGAAAGCTTTTTCGTAGTCAACGAAGCACAAGTGTAGATCAACATTTACATCCCGACATCGCTGAATTAATATGTTGATGGCAAATAGTCCTTCTCGAGTACCCATTCCATTTCGGAACCCGAACTGCGTCTCGCTAATATCCTCCTCTAGCCTTTCGTATATTCTCTTATGTATTATTTTTAGCAGAACTTTTAAAGTATGACTCATGAGACTCAGTGTTCGATAATCAGAGCACTCTTTTGCTGCTTGTTTTTTAGGGATGGTTATAAATGCTGACTTTAGCCACTCCTGTGGTATTATTCCCGTATCGTACACCGTGTTGAATAAATCTGCCAATACTTCCAAGTTGTCCTCTTCCACTAGTTTTAACAGTTCTACTGGTATTTCATCTAATCCAGCTGCCTTATTGTCTTTAGAGTTTTTGATAGCATATTTGATTTCATCTATCGTGATCTTCTGTATCTCTAAAGGATTTAATTCTTGTATTTTCTGCATTTCACCTCTTTCATCTTGGAAAAGTTCTCTAACGTACTCCTCCCATCGCCTTAACTTCTCTGGTAAATCTACTAGAAGTACTCCTTTTTTGTCTTTTATGTGTCCTTGCTGTCTATTTCGACCCATTCCAGTCACTTCTCTAATTTTTTTGTGCATATTTCTCATATCATATTTTGTTTCTAGTTCTTCTATCTCTTTACATTGCTTCATCAAATAGATTTCCTTAGCTGTTTTGATTTTTTCCTTAATTATTCGTTTGTATTTCTTTATACTTCTGCAGATCTTTTCCTTTATATTTCCTTCTTTCTTCCATCAGTAATAGTATTTCTTCTGTCATCCAGTGTTTTTTAGCCTCTGATTTATGTTCTATTAAACTTTCTTGAGCTGGTTTCAGTAATGTGTTTTTTATATTACACCACTTTTTATTTACATCCATAATTTGAAATAATATGTATATGAAATAAAGTATGGAAATTGGACACAAATTCAGGATCTGATAGCAAACTCAAATATGTGTCAACTAAATCCCCTACGAAGCTAAGGAAAAAATAAGACACTTTAGTTTTTGTTTTATCTAAGATCATTTCAATTAAACCAAAATTAGAAAAAAATATATAAACATCGCAATATAACTAGCAACATCGCTTCGTAGTAGATACCGCTCTTATCAAATTAGTGTTAGTTGGATGCAGCTATGTAATTACTAATTCTTAATGTGTATATTATCATCTTGACATGTATAATGTAAAAAGGCCACAAACAGGAAATTGATACCGAGTAATTATCGTGAAAAACCCACTCTGATTGGCGGATATTTTGTATATATATATATATATATATATATATATATATATATATATATATATATATATATATATATATATATATATATCAAAGCCAAGATTTTCTTAAATTTTTTTTCTGTTTAACGTGCATTGTCTTTTTCGAATTTATATTTAAAGATCATGCATATATATTACAATTACATCTTATTGTGCTAGTTTCCACATTTCAGCACAGTGGTCTTTCTCATCAATGTTATATAATTTTTGTTTGTATAGTAACATAATTTGTACTTATGTTGTGCAATAAGTTACACTTTCAGTTCAACAATATTGCTTGTGTATTTATAAAACCTGCGTTATTAATAATTATAGTTCTTCTCAGATCCTTCTTTCAGTCGAGACGATTTCTTGTCGAGTATTATTACGTGCGATTTGTGACAAATTTGACAGCCAAATTATCTAATATATTTATTGATTATATTAGCCAAAAATGCACTTATTATGAAATCAAAGTGATATTTTAGTGCAATTTGGATTCAAAAACGAAACTTGTAAACTGGTTTATAATACACTGCTCTCCAAAATTAACGCATAATTTTAAAATTCTTATTTTGAGTTGTAATGACAAAATTTTTGTTTGTTCTTTTCTGCGTTATGGTTGTTTTAGAACATTTTAAATAAAAAATTTTCTTTTTTTACAAAAAATGTATTGAAATTAACAATATAACATCATAAATCTAAACATCTAAACAAACAACTGATCTAAACAAACTAACATTATAAATTAATGAAGAAATTAAAATTTTTAAAGTTGAAGAATATACTAGTACCGTGTACTAGTATCGGGTATTGCCTCCTCTGGAATGTATTACTGCTTTACAACGATCTCTCATACTGAGAATAATCGTTCTGATTTCTTCTTGATCAGTTTGATCCCAAATTTCAACCAACCACAAAAACAGTTCATCTAATGTGTTTAGTGCATTAGGTAGTTATCGTAGTCGTCTGCCTATGATGTCCCAAACATGTTCTATTGGGTTGAGGTCAGCACTCCTGGCAGCCCAATCCATGGCAGGAATTCCAATCTCCTAACGATATTGATTCACAATTCTTGACGTGTGTGGCCTGGCATTATCTTGTATAAGCATGAAATTATCCCAATAAATGGTGCAAATGGCACGACATGCTCTGCTAAAATGTCTGTTATATACCTCTGCAATGTAAACCGACCGCGATCTATTCTAACTATTTCAGTATGAGCCTTTAAATTAATCCTACCCCACATCATTATCGAGCCGCCTCCATACTGTACAGTCCCTACGGTGTTACACTGTCCGTAGCGTTCCCCAGGCCTTCTATACACTCGGTTTCTCCTGTCATCAGAAAAAAGACAGTACCTGGATTCATCGGTGAACAATATCCTTCCCCAATCGTCATTATTTCAATCAACATGTTCACGAGCAAAATGCAATCTTTGTCTTCTATGGTCTCTGGTCAATAATGGGCTAATTGGTTACCATCCAGGGTGTAGGTTGTTTTCGGCAAGTCATCTTCTAATCGTATTTTGGCTGATTCTAAAGTTATAACAATCCAAAAATTCATTTTGTAAAGAAGTACTGGTCACAAACCTTTGTCTCAGTGTACGAAGTGTCAAAAATCGACGTTGATTAGGAAGTGTAACCCTTCTACGACCTTAACCAGGTCTTTTCGAGTTACTTCCAGTAACATAAAAACGTGTTAACACTCTTGAAATGGTTGACTGAGTGACGTTAAAACGTTCAGCGAGTTTATTCACTTGAGTGTATCCTTCTTCGCGAAGAGTAACGATTCTAAAACAGTCACTTTCTGACAAATTTCGATTGTCTTGCTGATGGTGGTTCATTTCAAAGAAAAAAACAATAAACTTGAAATACCCCTTTAGACGTTCAGCACAACGTAATCCAACCCAACTAAATTCAAAATAAAATGAAGCACAATTAGGATGTTTTTATTTTTTTTTTTTTTGCAAAAAATAATAAAAACATCAGCGTTTTTTACGGTTCTTTCAATTATTGCTTTTCATAACACTCTGCAACAAAACAGTGAAAAGCTTAGGGAAGCTGGTATCTCCTTGCCTAATACCCCTCTCGAATGGAAATGAATTTGTGTTGCCATAATACATTCTAACTGCAGCTGTTGCGCTATTGTATATATTCCGAAGAAGAGTTGTGTACATATGATCAATACTGCACTCTGTAAGAGCTCTTAACATTGAGCTATTCTGGACTGAGTCTGGACTTTGAGTTCTCAAAGTCTACAAATATTAATATCAATGGCTTGTTGTATTATATAACTTTTTCTATTAAGGATTTTATTACTTGTAGGTGGTCATTCGTTCCAAAGCCACTCCTAAATCCGGCCTGCTCTAATGGTTGGTGAAAATCCAGCTTATGTTCCAGTCTGTTAGTAATTATTCTCATAAAGAGCTTATATAAATGAGATAATAAGCTGATAGGTCTGTAGTTTCCGATTTCTGTTACATCTTCTTTTTTTGTGCAATATTATCATAATGGCACTATTCCATTTGTCTGGTGTAATTGCTTCAAAGAGGCAGGCATTATAAAGGGTTTTTAAAGCTTTTATGACGCATTCACCTACTAATTTTAGCATTTCACTTACAATGCCATCTTCTCCAGGTGATTTGCTGGTTTGCATACCTTTCAACGCTGATTCGATTTCCTCTTCGGTTATATCTGGAATTTCCTCTGATCCTTGATTTTGTATGGCTTGGATTTCCACCTCTGGAATATAAGCATCTCGACGATATAATGTTCTATAGTCCTGATATAATGACGATATAATATCTCTAGCGTTTTATATAAGACTCTTACTGTGGGCACGATAAAAATTTGGAACTATATCACGCTACACAGCGAAAAGGTTAATAGCAGACTTCCTTCCAGAAACCTATCTTAGTAGTAGCTCTGAATACAACAATTAGTAAATAAATAATTGATGGATTCGACCATAACTTGATAGAAATTAATTTAATTAATCGTTTGAAAACAAAGCTCTCAGTGTTTTATTGTTTTGTAAATAAATAAAGTTAAAGATATGTTTTGTTTGAATGATAATTGTATATTATTTTAAAATGACTGTTTTCTTCCTTTGGACTAAAAGTTTTGTTTTTCTTTTTAGAAGGGAGCAATGGCCTTTATTTTCCAGTTACACATGCTGGCAACAATTGGTTGCTCAAACCAAGAACCTCAGTAGGGATCATGCTGCTTTATCTGAAGTATACTCCAACCATTTAGTGGCTCGTCTCTCTCAAGTTATGGAGGACGTACAGAGAATTTACAAAAGGGTAAGTATGCTTTACGATATTTACAATACAGTGATAGCATAATAGTTGCATAGATTTACTGACGTTGTCAGTGAATATTATTAACATGTTATAGCCGCTTTAGACTAATAGTGAATTCACGAAGAAACTCATGAAGTAGGTTCAAGGTTGTTCTTGTTGATATAAAAAACAAAATGACTACATTTTCTGTTTCTTTAGCTATGTTGTCCGTACTGAAGTTATTGAAATTATCTTTTGTCTAAAAATCAACAGTTTTCACTAATTACATGTAGTAGATACACCGAGGGCTGAGAATCATAGGGTTCCAAGCGACAATTTGTACAAAATTTGTTTTTTAACAGAAATCTATTGTTCTTTGAAATCTGCATGGAATGGTATTGAAAGTTCGGCCATTTGTTGACAGATAGCGCCACAGTCAACAGTAAAATATAGTTCCAAGTACAGGAAATGCTTTAAGGTTAGAACTAAATGGTTCCATGTATTACAGTGAGAGTATTGGGGAAAGTTAAATGTCAGTTTTATCAGTTAAAATTATCATTTGCTTGTTTTGCAATGTCCTCTGTGTCCGAAAATGAATCTTGGGCGGATTACTGTAGCTCCACTTCTGAATATCTACCAGAAACTAGCAGCGGAAAGAAATGGTACTCTATTAAACATTGTACTTTACATTTCGGGAAAAATATAACCTTATTTTATTAGGCGGTTGCTGGTTGCTGTTCATATTTCTTGTGATTTTGACACAGGGACTACCAGTTGTGATGAGAAACAATGGGTACTTATTCCTGAAGTACCAGTAAAAGAAGGTACATTTTTTTATAAAAGTATGAAACAATTTTAATACTTCCTTTATGAGGTGGCAGGTACACGTTTATGTGAACTGTTATAACAAATAAAACAAAACTTATAATCAAAAATATATTATTGAAGTAGATTTCTTAATGTCTTGAGTGACAAATAATTTTTAGGCTAAATTTCGAAACTAAAGAGTCCTCTAAAGCTTTAGATGGAAGTGTAGTAAGTCCAAGAGAAGGAGTCAATAACATTCATAATATTCTTGGTCCAAACAATCAAGTTGTTGCCTTAAGAACGTAAGACAAATTAAATAGTATGTATAACTAACCTTTACACAAACACATTGTGTAGGAATAATGCCAGTGGTTGCTTAGTAGACTACAGTTCCATCTAAACTTCCGAATCAGAATCTGAAAAAACTTCAATGAAGGAGGTAAATAGGAATCCCCAGATGTGGGAAAAAACAACGGAAGGAGAATTATCAACAAGTAAAAAGCTACATCAGTGTTAAAGGTATAGCTAGGTCTGCTAAAGTAATTAATACACGGGTGTGTAATGTAATGAAACATTTATCCCTGAAGAAAGATTGGAGACAAAAAACAGGTATTATTCATTGGACCAAAATGGAAAGTATACATTTATATTAAATGTGACAAAGAGAATTTTAGTTAAGAGAAAACGCAGTACTGAAACAAACTACAAATCTTTTTCATTTGAGTTCGCATTTCAAGGAAAAGGAAGTACTAACACAACACATACACTCTTTTCCATATGTAGAGGCACATAATTGTAGGAAAGATTCAAAAAGAAGATATCTAGACCCTTAACACTTAACCTTCAAAAAATGTATGATCTGTAAATTGAAATGTGCAATGAAAATAATATACGTCCACAAACGCTGTCGATGTATAGGCGCATTTTTAATTTTGAGCATAATCTAGAATTCTTACAACCGAAAACGGATATGTGTGATGTCTGCGAGGATTAGAGATTAAAAGAGGTTAATCTTTGTAAATGGGTATATTTATTAAATAAATATACCCATTTACAAAGATTAACCTCTTTTTGTTATACGTGGTATACAGCCAGCTACAGGAATTTTTCCTTGTGGATTTTGATTAGAGATTGGCCAAAAAAGAGAACAGGGTGTATGCAGAAGAGGAACAAACATATCACTCCCACATTACACATTACAAAAAAAAAACAGAACTCAAAAGATACCATTATGTTTTGATCTGGAAAATTCATAAAGCTACCTAAATCTGAAGTCTCTGTGCTGTTTTCACAAACAAAAATTAAATGTATACAATCTGACTGCTCCAGAAGTTTGTTTAGTGGAAACACCTATTTATTGTAAATTATAATGGAAGTGGATTAAAGTCGTAACAAAACAACGCAAACCGTACGTTGATAGCTTTTGTAGAACTCGAGATATGAATAAAAACACATAAACATAAATAAGTATAGTATTGACTCACTCTTTATTATAACTTAAAATTAAATATGTGAAAGATCATACATACATCTCCATCATTAAAACTTAATGTCCAATTAAATGTTCAAATTGATTTCCATCATTGTCCACACAAAGATGTAATCTTTCGCGCGTAGACATAACAGCTGCTTCAATCTCAGCTGTTCATATACTATTTATTGAGTTTATAATGCACTGTTTCATCTCGACTGGCGTGGTTAGTCAAGTTTGGTACACTAAGCCCTTCAATCTTCCCCACAGATAAAAGTCCAGATATGTTAAGTCTGGAGATTCCCCTTCCAATCCATTTATTTGGATAACTTGCATAAAAATAATCTCGAACTCGTCTGGAAAAGTGCGCATGACACCTGTCATGTTGTAATATCATATCTCTTCTCGTTTGTAAGGAAATATCTTCCAATAAAACAGGCAACTAATTTTCCAGAAAATGCAAATATTTTTCGCCATTTAAAGTTATATCAAAAAAATATGGACCTACGATCTTTCCATCAACTCTACCACACGAAACATTAAGACTCCATCTACCTTGAACCTGCAACTCATGTATCCAATGCAGATTTTCTTTAGCCCAATAATGCATATTATGCAGATTAACACCACCCGCACTATTAAACGTAGTGTCGTCTGTTCACAAAATCTTTGACATGATACGCGAGTGTTCTTCTAGCAGACCTAACATCCAATTGCAGTAATCCAGCCTTGCATCAAAATCTCTCTCATGTAAAGCTTGGTGGAGAACTACATGATAAGGATGCAGTGTAAAAAATAGAACAACAAATATTGGTGAAAAAGAAACCACTATATTTACTAAAACTCAAAAATCTTGAAAAATCTACAATTGTTTCACAAGATAAATCGTGCATAAGTATTTTTAAGAAACGGATAAAAGGATAAAAGCGCCGTGTTACCGTTTTTATTGGAATATTAAAATAACAGTTGAATCTAAAGTTTAAAGGGAATTCCAAGTTTCTGACCTAAACGTTCACTTTATAATATGAAAAACCAACCTGTGATGTTTTAAAATCCTCAGAACAGTAGTTTTGGGTATGTTTAATTCTATAGAATGTATGTTTAATTCTATAGAATTATCTTCGGTCATACCTCTACTACATCGTTTAAAACAAGGACGATGAAAACTTCCCAGTTTCTCTTAATCTTCTTACCTTTCTTTCAAATACTTCTTTGCCATAATGTCTCCTGTCAGGATATCTTACAGAATATATACGTGAGGAAATAGCAGCATTTTGGTGACATTCGAAATAAACTCCAATCATATCATACAATTCTGCATTTGATATACTCATCACGGATTATTAGTACTCATAATTAATTACTAATATTACCAATATTAATATCTATTGAAAAAAGTGCAATCTTCAATTCGGATTATAATATAACACTTTCGAAAAAACTATTTTTAATCATATAAAATATCATCATCACAGTCATTAACATCTTAGTAGATGTGTTGTGGTTCATAATTGGGCTTCAGCAGCTCGGACAGTTTGATTGATAATATTTCTCCACTGTTCGCGGTCATCAGTTATATGTATTGTCTCAGTATACTGTTTATTGAGAAGCTTTTTAGTAATGTCCGCCCATCGCTGTGGAGATCTTCCGCGTTGGCGTTGAGTCTGAGGCCTTCCTTGGACCACCAACCGCTCCATTTTGTGATCACTTCGATGGATATGGCCAAAGAACTTTAAAATTCTAGAGTAAACGGTACTGGAGAGACGTTGATCCGGTTTAATTTCATCCAGAACCGAGATATTTGTACGGCGAGCCGTCCATGGAATTCGAAGCAGTCGTCTCCATGTCCACATTTCAAAGGCGTCTATACGTCGTCGATCTGATTCTTTGACTGTCCATGTCTCGCATGCATAGTAAAATATGGAAAAGACCAGAGTTGAAACGAGTCTCTTTTTGTTTGTCATAGTAATGTGACGATCACGCCAGACCCCGTTTAGTTCACTCATTGCTGCTCTTGCTAGTTGAATGCGTCTTCTAATTTCGGATTCACAACTGCCTGTGTTGTTAACTAGAGCTCCAAGATATATCATAGATGAGACTACCTCGCATGCCGCAATAGTTTGGGTTTCAGGAAACTGTTGTTGGCGATCAATAACCATGATTTTGGTTTTGTTGTAGTTAACCATGAGTCCAAATTTAGCACTTTCTACCTCAAGTTTTTTTAATAATCTAGTAATTTCTTCTGGAGTAGAGGCTAGAAGTGTAGTGTCGTCTGCGAAACGCAAGTTAGATATCTTAACACCACCTAGGTTTACTCCTCCCTCCCAACCATCCAAAACTCTGCACATTATGAACTCCGAATAGATGTTAAATAATAAGGGAGATAAAACGCATCCTTGGCGTACTCCCTTCTCCAAAGTGCATTTGTCAGACAGATATCCGTCCATTCGAATATATGCCAGGTTATCTTGATACAGTTTGCTAATAAGGTGAGTCAAGTGTTTAGGTACACCCATTGTCGTCAATATGTTCCATAGTTTGTCCCATCTAACATTATCAAAGGCCTTTGTATAATCGACGAAACATATAAATATCGCGATCTGGTATTCTCTGGCTTTTTCTATGATGTTTCGTACATTAAGGATTTGTTCTCTAGTACCTCTGCCCTTTACAAATCCAGCCTGCTCAGGTGCTATTTGCCAACTTATGAAGTTTTCTAGACGCCGTTGCAGTATGTAGAGGATCACCTTACTGGCGTGTGATATTAGAGTTAATAGCCTGTAGTTGTTACAATTATTTGTTGAACCTTTCTTATGAAGAGGTATGATTATGGTCTTTCTCCAATCCTCAGGCCAGACGCCTGTGTGCCATATTTCATTGCACAATGGATGTAATATTTTCACTCCACATTCCGGAAGATGCTTCAAGACGTCTGTAGTAATGAGATCATATCCTGCTGCTTTGTTTAACTTAAGTCTTTTTAAAGCGAATTCCACCTCGGAAAAAAGTATGTCAGGTTCAGACTCAAAACTAGTGCGGTGTGTCTCTGTTGAAGGAGAATGGAAAGTGGAGGTCTGGCAGTCAGGTACAAACGGGGCGTCCGCTGGCATCTGGTCCGTATTGGCGTATAAAGACTTACAATACGCCCTCCAAACATCAATAACCTTGTCCAAATCCGTCTGTACATTACCTTCATCATCTTTGATAGACCAAGATTTCTGCTTGAATTTACGTGTGAGTTGTCTGACTGTATCAAAGAGTTCTTTGGTGTTATTTGTGTCGGCGTGTAGTTGAATTTCTCTGCAGATTTTCTCTATATGCTTGTTTTTGTCTCGTCTACAAGCAGCCTGAATAGCTCTAGATAGCTGTCGGTACTGGGAATTCCTGAGAGGGTTCTCGATTCCAGCAATTTTAAGTTTTCTACGTTCTTCAACGAGGTCAAAAGTATCTGCAGACATCCACACTTTTTTTGGTCCGGTTGAGACGGCATTAGACTGTCCTCGCAGTCAGTCAAGGTCTGTATCAAGGTATTTTTAAAAGATAACCAAATCTTTTCGGAATCATGAGTGACGATAGTTGGTAAAATATTTTCGAATCTTTCATTACATTGGAGTTTAAATTGTTGTGTATCTTTTATTTTTGATATCCTCTTGTTTCGGATCCTAGCACATGCCTTGAATTTTTGCTTTAGCGTTGCAACAAGAAGTTGGTGGTCAGAGCCGCAGTCAGCGCTAGGTCGTGTTTTACATTGGCTAATAGATGTTTTCCAGCGATGTTTAATCATTATGTAATCGATCTGATTTCGGTGTCGTCCATTAGGTGAGATCCAAGTGTACAATTTTCACGGGTGGTGCCTATACATAGAGTTCATTATTGTCAAGTCATTGTCAACGCAGAACTGGATAAGGCGGTCTCCTCTTGAATTGCGTTCACCTATTCCATATCTACCCACAATATTTCGTATATGTTCGTCAGCCATAGTAACACCGATTTTTGAGTTTAAATCACCCATGATGATAGCGATTTCTTTATTTGGGATATTTTGCAGATATGATTCCAGCTCGTTGAAAAAAGATTCAGTTGTATCATCATCAGCAGTTGAGGTAGGCGCATAGACCTGGATCAAATGTACAATAGAGGGAGATCCATTTAGTTTTAAGGAAATTATACGATCACTGATAGCTTGATATCCCAGTATATAAGGAGAAAGAGATTTTGAAACCCAGAAGCCAACACCATTGATACTTTTGTTAGTGTTGCCGGAAAAACACATGAAATGTCCCAAATTAGTTATGTAGTGCCCCTCGTTGCGGAAGTGAAGTTCAGAGAGCCCGGCCACAGAGATATTGGTTCGTTCCAGTTCCTTCTCCAGAATAGCTTGTTTGCCCGGTTGTAAAAGACCACGGACATTCCATGTAGCTATGTTGTATGGTTTGCGGTTATTAAGTTTTTGTTTTTCACCAGTAGCACATTTCGCATGTAAAGCCTGATGAGTCACGTCTACATGCCCGGTAGCTGATTTCACACATTCCTCCCCGGACGAGAAGATGCGCCGGGTGCCATCCGGATCGCGAAGCTCATCATCCGAGGCCTCGCAGCTATTGCTCATATCATGAACTTTCGTGGGTGAAATAAAGGGGTGGTTTCCCGTTGCCTTCCCCTTTGGTTGGGAGTGCTAATAAGGAAATTTGTTTAAACAGGGTTAGTAGGAAAGGACAGTGGTATCTACTGTTTGGACTTAGTAGATATACCAAGGCTCGCGTGGGCAGGGTCGCATACCTGAAGTAGGACTATCACCTATTGGGTTTATAGACGAGTCTCTACCCGCTACCCTGAGGAAATTAGGAGTGTGTGAATGGGGAGAGGCGCAAGTTACGCAGTTTGTGTGTGGGGTGCGCGACATGTATATGCCACACACCCCCCGCGCAAAAAGGACCTCTTCCACTCAAACACGGTCAAAGGGACTCATCCGACACTCGGGGTGTGGCTGAGATAGGTTCTTGGTAACTAAATGGGTATGGGACGAGGTGGAATGTTGGGTAAGGACAGCGGTCAGCTGCTCCTGCGTTCGCCTCTTACGACCAGTAGGAGATACTGTGGGTGTATTCTTTTTAGCGACCCGCATCCCACACGGGTTGAATAATATAACAATGGTCAAAAAGGTATCAACATTAAGATTATTTTTCTATAAAAAGATTTGAAAGTACCTACTGACTTATTTTTGAATTTAATCTATAATACAGGGTGAGTCAATACTATACTCACTTATGTTTATGCGTTTTTATTCATATCTCGAGTTCGACAAAAGCTATTAACATGCGGTTTGCGCCATTTTGTTACGGATTTAATCCAGTTCGATTACAGTTTACAACAAATAGGTGTTTCCATTAAACATTTTAAAGAAAAACGAATTTTTGTTTTTTCTATTCGAAAGTACCCTCTACCTATGACAATTAAAACTAAATTCAATTATTTTATAGTAGATGTAAATTAATTCATCCACACTCTTTCTAATGCCACTAATTTCGTTATGATTGGTTAATCCAATCCAAAGTTATAGGTATTTATCCACAAATACTTCCCCACTCTCCCCCACCCTTTATTTGAAAAAATAAAACAAAGTACTTGAACAACTTTGTGATGAATTAAGGCCTCTTTCTAGTTTACTTATTTCACACTTGGTATAATTGGACATATTTCTAAAAAAACTGGTTTTCAAAGTTTTCTTCACAGGTTACGCCCCCTAACGGTTAACCCAGAAACTTGAAAGTTATTTCTAGCGATTTCTCTTGGCCACATTTACTGAAAATTTTTTTTTCTTAAGTTATAACATGAATAGTTTCTGATATATAGCCTAGAGATCGGCGTATTGGACCACCCGGTACTTTACTTTAAGTGGAAATGGAGAGAACCTAATCATAAATGAAGTAGAAATATTGTGATTAATTTTTTTTTTCATACATTCTCAATATTTGACTATTTTTTTTATTATATCAACGGAATTCAAATAATTCATTGTTCTTCGTTACTATTTTAATTATAAAAAAAACCCATATCAATGACCAACTGGTACGTTCATGATTGTTTTTAACGTTACTGTCTCTTTCACTATAAATTATTAATACATTTGTTATTACTTTTAACATAACACATGTTGTGTTAAATACCAATAAAAAATCTGCAACTGGCAGCTTTTACTTTTTATTTGACGATGGACATGCTACACATATTTTATCGAAAGAATTAAAGCATCACTTTGTAAACTGAGATATGTTAATTATTTGTAGAATGTGTTACATCACAACACGAAAGCAGGCATATTATTCTTTTTTGGTTCATTTAATGATCAAAAGACGTACGGAGAAGGGAAGGATTTGAACTGGGAGAGGTTCAATTGAACATTTACAAGAAAATAAATAGCCCAGGCTGTGGGGGAAAAAAGGGTAATTTTACACTGTAATTCAGGAATTTATGTAATGTGGCTTAGGTTATAAAGGGCAACCTCACGAGCAATCATCCAGTTCATTCAACAAAACATTTTTGGTTGTTGTTTATTTATAAGTGTTTATAGGTGCAAAATACGTATTTTTTGAGTTTTTTCATTTTTTGCCTAAAGTAAGTGTTGTAATGGGTAATTTCTGTACAGTTATGAAAGTACTCTAAAATACCTTCAATTTGAGTCGGTATACGATCAATTTAATTTATTTGTTATTGCAAAAATGACGAATAAAGGTCAAAAATAAAAAAACCTATAAAAAACCTAATATTTATTGCAAAATTGATTTTTTTATTTATGTCAAATGTATAACATTCAAAACTATAAAATTAGGAATCGAATGAGCCGAATTAGGACTAGATCAATTAATTTGTTGCTGAGATACGTTAATTAATTTATCCCACGACCTTCAAATTTGAATGCTCATAGGATTGTCAGAAAAAAATGGTAGAGGGGTAATTCTTGTTTTCTTGGAGGTGAGGATAGGAATTGAGTAGGAGTGACTAGAGGTGTTATCAGGAAGAAATACCTTATATTGCGCATCACTACTCCTTTGAACCCCATAGTACAACTATGGGGTTCAAACTATATAAAAGCTCTAACTAAAGGGTTAAAGCACGTCAACACAGGACTGTTCACAGTAAACTAACACTATCTTGACTTGGTTTAGTAGTATTCATCACCACCTTTTTTATACATTTCCGAAAAGATTTGATTGAGTTTTAGGATGGCATTTGACAATTCTTCTCTTGTTGGGTAATCTCTGTGTACTTGACGTTGTAGATTTTGTTGATTATCTATGTTGTAACCTTCAATATCGTTTATATTTAGATGTTCGCTAAAATGCTGTGCCCACCTGTTACGAACTGAGTTTTTATCATGTAGAATTTCCCTGTTAGTGTCTTTACAAATTTTTAATCGTTGTTTAAATTCTCGACGGCTAATATTTAATGATTTGTAGTATTTCTTTGTTTCATTTTTAGCGAATAAGCTTTGTATCTCATTATCTACTCAAATTTCATCGAAAAGATCCCCGATCTCCTTGAATATGAACCAAATATTATAAACTATTTAATTTTAGGCATGCAGATTTAAATTCAATTTAATTTAAAATACAATATTTAAACAACCTTTTGTTTAACTAAATTAAAAATTCTTTTTTGCAGTGCCGAGAGATAGGTTATGAAACCCACGAAGAAATCCTCAGAGTTTTACATGAACTCCATACCACAATGAAAACATATCACAGCTACCAAGCCGAACTTCGACAAGCTGAAACTAAATTAAGAACTGCCGAATTACAAAGAAGCAAACTGGAGCAGAGCTTTTCTCAAGATAAGTTAGAACGATCGAAGAAATACAAATTAATGGAAAAAGAAGTAATGAAAGTAAGTTAACATTGATCTGAAGCCATTTTCTATGGCATGTTTATGTTACATAGTACCTTTGATGGGAATTAGCAATTTCAGTTGAAAATTTCGTTTTTAACGTGTCAATTTCCACTTCAGAAATCATTTTCAAAATACAAATTAACAAATTATTTTGTTTTGCTATTTGGTACTACAAAAAAATTCTTGTAATAAATTGATTTTATCTGTCTCATTCATAATAAAAATCCAGACATGTTTACATTTTAAAGTTAGTAGACGACTATTAAAATTACAAAGTAAAAGGGGAAAATCCCAACGGTTGACTGTACCATAGTTTTAAAAAACTTACATAGAAGTAAGATTTTCTTGTGTATAATGATATATTATTTATTAAAAATAATTGAAAAATGTTATCCAAAAGGATTACAAATCTTCAAAACGTTTTCGGTCCATTCGGACCATCGTCAGTGAAAAAACCTGATAGAACCTAATGACAAGTATATTTCCAACTTAAAATAGAATAGAAATATGCTTTATTGTCACTGAGAATTGTACAATTTTTATGGACAAAGCTTACAAAAAGTCAGAAAAATAACAATAACAATTTAAAATTTACTAAAATTACATCAATCATCAATATCACAAAATAAAAGATAATATACACAGTCGATTGCAAAATTTAAACAATTTGCAGATTGCATAATAAAACCTTATGGACTAATAACTTGAAATTGCTGCATGTGATACCCAAATATTTATATTTAAATAGTTAAAAATTGTTAGTTATTCGTTAAGAAACTGTTCTTAGTTGTACATTTAAGTTGCAAAGGGAGATGGTTGTATAATTTTTTGTCGAATATTATATAGATTTCTTTACTAATTCAGTGGACAGGATCGTTAAATACACATCAAAGGTTGAATTTCTGGTGGAGTGGTCATGATTAGGTCTTGCTGAAAAACACGTATACCCTGAATTCAATAGAATTATCAGGGCGGACATTTTGTAGTTCGTAAACACTCTATAGTAAGCGGCTATATATTTATTTATTTATTAGCACACAAATTTACTTCTCAATTATCATTTTTGCCGATTACATCTGCTCTAAGTCCGAACTAGATAAAGAATACTCGCCTTGTTGTATTGTCCTCGGGGGGGTTTTGGTTGGGCACCGAAATTTTTTTATGCTACCTCCACCATTTTAAGTACTTAAAATTATTTGTAAATAACAATGTCGGAATAGGGTCCTGGGGGGGGGTTGACCCCCCAAAACCCCCTCTGGGTGCGCCACTGTCGTTGAGGTATACCTGAAAGTCAAGAAAGGAATAGGCGGACATTGTTACCCTTTTCGAAAGTAATATTCTTATTTCAATGCGGCAACGTTGTTAAAACTCGCTGACAAATAGTGAAAATAAATATTAAAATCAGGTAGTCAGAAGTATTACATGAGCGTACTGTCGGGTAACATGGCATCAATACCAACGTGAAGTACATATGTTAATAAATCAGATGTGATTGTCGGAGGTGGTTATCTGTGAAAAAAAAAACAAATGATTAAATCGGTTTATGAGGGATTACGTAGAAGACGATATGTTTATAGAGGACTTCGCGGCATTGTATTGTGATTTAACGAAAATATCGGCTCGTACCGTTTTTCGAATAATTCAAATTAATAAACCACTTCAAAAACCTATTCATAAAAGACATACAGAAATTGTATTGGACGATATTACGAAAAGTATAATCCGAAGTTCATAGATTTTATTTTAGGAACGAAACGTCCACGTTAAAGGCTATTTAACGAGAAATTGATGCAAACGCAGATGATACTTAAAATATCTATGCGGGTATTACAAAAAGAGGATTCCGTGAAATGGATTTTCGGTATGTAAAGAGAAAAGACAGGCTTTTAATGGGGACTTTCAACCAGCTTAAAAGCACCTTCGGACAAAGGAAGACCCGTCATTATTACGCACATATTAAGTGATTCAGGTTTCTTACAAGTTGGTTTAAATGCCTTTAACTATATCAAAACGGGCGATTATCATGAGGATATGAATTCGGTTGAGTTTAAAAAATAGTTTTCCTCTATACTGACTCTTGTAGAACCTGAATCGGTAATTATAATGGGCAATGCACCTTATCACAGCCGTATTATGGAAGAAATACCGACTTCTGCATCTCGAAAGGCAGATATAGTAGATTGGCTAGGAAGCAAAAATATAGAATTTGATGAATCCATGATAAAAGTTCAATTACTTGATGTAGTACGCAAAAATTAGACTTCCTACATCAGATTTGCAGTAGATGAAAGCACGTGAGCATAACATCACCGTATTAAAAACCCCACCGTATCATTGTAAATTTAATCATATCGAGCTGATATGGGCACATAAAAAAATTAGGTAGCGCAAAAAAAAACATAACCTTCGAATTAAAAGATGTCAAATTATTATAACAAACCATATAACCTGTTTCAACTGACAGTCATGCATTAAACGTGCACAGAAATAAAAAGATAAAATGTGACACGTAGACACGCGTGTTGATGTTCTTATTGAGCATATTATTATTACTTCAGGAGAAGACTCTAGTGATGGTGAATTAACATCTGGAAGTGGATCAGCATAAACAGATTTATTTTAAATAATAACTAATATAGTTCTAATTAATTTGTTTTTTGTTGTTGATGTTTTACCATTCGGAAAGTACCTGTCCGATCCTTCGTCCTACGAGGTTATAATATTGTAAGTACTTACCTCATAACTTTATTATTATGGCAAGTTTGTTTCTCAAAATTTAGGTTAACATTAGGCTGCCGGGTCTATTATTTTCTGTAAAGCAGTTGGTATTTATATTTGAATATGAATTTTATTTTAAAAATATCGATAAATACATAATATCATTATTCCAATATCAGTACGTTTAAAGAAATCTAATGTAAAAGGTTTCTTTCGAATTAGTCCTCACAATGCTTTCCCTTATTTTAAAAATGTACACGCCACCATTGAACTACACTCGTCTCTCGTTTCGTGCCCCTGCAGTCTCTATCATTTTAAAACGATACCTTGACAATCCTATTGAATTTGGACTATAGGTGTTTAGGAATTAAGCAAACAGTTTCTAAAATATATAAGAGGGAAGAGTTAAAATTCCTTGATGAAATGACTCGAACACAGAAAAATATGTTATTTTGGAGGATGCTAAATTGATTTCCTTCGAAACAGATCTTATTGCATAGCAGGCTGAGGCTAGTTTCTTACTTAACATATCTATATGAAGGGATTATATTTTAAGGGTGCTGTCTATAAAAATACCAAGAAATTGTACAGAATCAACGATACTTCTGGCTGTTATTAAGAAGCAAGTGTTTGAAGAGCTCTTTTATAGAATAATGCTACTGTCTTATCCACGTTAAAAGAGAGTAAATTAGAGTCGGACCAGGTTTTTATTTTAATTGGATCAGAAGTTAAAGTTGCATGAAGAGTTACAATATTAGAGTTCCTTCAGGTGATACTCAGCAAAAAGCAAAGTTCTTCCATCGATTTTTAAGTTAGCGATGTCATTGATAAAGATAACGAAAAGTAGAGGACCCAATACTGAACCTACTTTTATAACCATACTGTGATTCAGCTAACGAACAACTACTGGACTGATACCTGCAATAGAATAACAATAATTATTATCATTGCTATTTCAGGATCAACACTGCAGAAGAAATGGAAGAATTTACGTGATGTATATGTGAGAGATATGAAAAAAATTAAAACTTTAAAATCTGGTTCGGCAGCAACATCGAAATCTACTTCGGCGTATTTTCAAAGATTAACATTTTTGCAACCCTCCGTACAAAAAAGAAAAAGTGACAATAGTTTCCAAGTAGAGGATGATAATGATAACGACGGTGACGTTTCCGAATCAGCTGAAGGAAACAGTGACAGCAACTTCAGACCTCCGGGAGAATATCCACCTGCTACAAAGAAGTATAAACTTCATCCAGCAGACGAACATTTTGCCAAAATATTAGAAAAGAGTATTAACCAAAGAAGACCTATAGAAAAATAAGAAGACGATGAAGATAAACTATTTTGCCTATCATTACTTAAAGAACTAAAGAAAGTACCCGAGCACAACCGTTTAAGACTGAAGATTGAAATATATGATTTAATAGGACGAAACCAAGTTCAGGCAAATACTCCGCAATTCCAGGAACGGCAGCCACTGTCTTTTAATGCATCTATATACGATATTTCGTATACAACAAATCAGCCATCTAGTTCTTACAGTCAACATAACGCAAATTCACAGGAACGCCACCCATTGCCTAGAAACAATAGATTAGTTACACAACAGAATTCCGTGCGGCACTATGAGTATCAACCTCATTCCCACATGGATATACCACATATCCTCAAACAGATAAGACTACAAATACAAATTCACAATATACACCATCACTTAAGAACTTTATTTGTTTAATAGCGATGAAGACAGTAACGAACAAGTGTAAAAATGTTTTTGATTTATAATAAAATAAATAGTATGCCTTATTCACTATATTAATACTTATATAATTAAAAGCTTACCTTAACGTAACAATGACTTTTTCTTTCGGCGATATGCAGTATCGTATAGCATTATCACTGCACATTTTCAATAATGCTCATTAAACAGTCAAATGACGTGACCGACATCCTGAAATAGTTGAAAAACTTATCTTCATGTCTTCTCAACTTTGGATGTAAGGTAATATATAGACTCAAAGTGGTTCTCTCGCTCAAAATAGGATTCACCCAATATCTTCTTTCTCTTCGTCGACGTCGATATTTCAACCTCCGATACAAAACCCATAAACAGATTGCCTCATCAACTTCCATTTTCGACGACTACGACGCTACAATGTTGCGTTCTCGCAAACTCGGAATAAAAAAACGCGCGACCATGTGATACATCATTGCGCGTTAAAGAGCTACAAACGTGCATTGTCGCGCAACCATGTGAACTTAGCCTTACTATCCCAAACGTGCATATAGTTTTACCAATTTGATAATAGGGGCCATCCTGGGTTAGATTATAAAACAGCAACTCTCTGTTTTCTTCAATCTTATTTATATTTCTTTTTCAGAGACGAAACAAATACACTGACGTCAAATTAAAAGCACTTAAGGCTAAAAATGAGTATTTGTTGTGTTTAGAAGCTGCGAACACTACGATTCACAAGTATTTCGTTGATGATCTCTCCGATTTAATCGATGTAAGTATATGATATTGATTGACTTGGTTAACTTTTTAGTGAATGCAATATTCAAACTGCAAACAAGTTGCAAACTTGCAATCACTTTTCATGTATGAAAATTAAATTTCGATGATTTATGTGTATTTGTGTAGCCAATAATTTAAATAGCAACCCTTGATAAATAGAAATGTCTATGAATGCCAATGTGATATTTTCTCTTATTTCTTCATTAGTATGAAGTTTGAATTTTCTTTTAGAATAAAAAAGATACATTTGTTATGTTGTGAAATTCCATTCAGTACAAACGCATATTTTACACAGTGCATTTTTTTTGTAGTGTATGGATTTTGGTTTCCACAACTGCATCTCCAGAGCATTAATGATGCATATAACAGCCGAGGAAGGCCGCCAAAAATCTGTACAAAGTGATTTAGACTCATTATCGGCCTGCATTAACTCTCTGGATTCCCGATTAGACAAGCAGAAGTTTTTAGAAAATAACCATGCTGCGTTTATGATTCCTAAAAAATTGGAATTTCAACGTCAGAAGACTGATGAAGTAAGTTACAGCTTTTATTATGTATATGATAACTTTCTAGGATATTTCTATTTAATATGTTATTAATACACATTAAGTCTATATAGATAGAATGTAAATACCCTACACCTGTCAGGAGTTTGAAACCAATTTTTGTTAAAATCATAGCTGGAACTTCATTTTTGTTTCGACTGCTTTCTTCTCCTAGTCTTAATAAACTGGACAGTTTTACTGCTCCAATATTTAATAATAATAATAATAATAATAATAATAACAAATAGTTATATAAATGTCACCACAAATGTTTATGTCTTCAGTCTCCAGAACCTGCAATTCAGAGTATTCTACACCGAGAAATGGAAACAAGACTGACCCAATTACAGCAGAGAGTGACTTCACTTCGAGCAGAATCTGAAGAAGTGTGGAAGACGCTAGAGACAGCAGAAAGTACCCTACTAGAAATGTTATGTGCCAAGGACTACGACTGTAGCGGTTATTTTGGTGACAATGCAGTACCTGCTAGCAAACCCCCTGAGACTGTTTCTATAAAGCTTAGAGCCGATAGGCAAGAGACTGAAGAATTTTATTTAATTGTAAGTATTATGTATATTTTCTAGTTTAGTGATATATTTATCACTTGGCAATATCATTTTTCCTTCTATGAAGAACGCTCTTCCATATTTTTTAAAATAATCTGATCTTATGTCCCCTTTAACTATTTAAAATATTTGCTAATTCAACTAATTTTATTTAACTCTTAGAATTCATAGCTCCACATATTTTCAATATGAAAACGAATAATATTCTCAGATTTCCGGGGTAGCTATGGGTTCACCAATTTCAGCAACAATTGTAAACTTATTGATGAAACTCTTGGAAATATCAGTTATAATTAATGTGAACTACAACTTACCGTTATACAAAAGATATGTCGGTGACTTTTTATTTCAAAAAATAATGTTGGCTATACATTAAAAATGTTTAATAGCTTTCATAACAAAATACAATTTACTCATGAAATAAAATTACGTTTCAATTTCAAGGTAAAAGTAAACGGTTTCTATCAAATGTGACATATCAAAAAAATGGTACACCACAAGGCTCGGTAATCAGCCCGACGCTTTTTCTTATAGCTATTGATGATATAACCAAATCAATGAACAAACCCATTCAAGCGAGATTGTACGCAGATGATCTTGTAATATTCTTAAATGGAAACAATATACAGAGTATGGCCAAATTACTACAAGATCAACTCGATAAATTTATAGTGTGGTCTAAAAGGAGTGGTTTCCAATTAGCTTTATCTAAAACTCGCTGCATCATATTCTCAAAGAAACCAAAACAGATAAAAGAAATATCTAAATACAGATAAATACTTTAAAACTTGGGGGTCGGACACTTGAATATGTAAATACAATTAAATATCTAGGTGTAATATTTGATCAAGCTCTTACCTGGAAGGACCACATCTTATATACAGCGTGGTCCAAAAGTCTGGAAACGGCTAATTATCTCGTAAAATGCTAATCATAATTGTACAAAATTTGAGATACACCTATTTTGGGATACGGAGATTCCATATTTGATATTTACAATGTTGCCAGATTTTCCGTTTTTCTTATATTATTAGTAACTTTAGTTTTTCAAATACATCATCCTGTATATTCAGTCATTATTGGAATCTCCTATTCAATACGAGTTCAACCATATGTAAAACTTATGATTTTATGTAATCTGGAAGGTCATAAATACATAAAACCGAAGTCTGGCAACGCCTAAATTGTTTCAATAAATTTTTTAATACTAACTATTTTCAAATACATTAAAACGTAACAATTGATAGTTTAGAACATTTTTTAACATAGTAGTTACGTTATTAAGTGTTCAAAATGTGCTCAATTTGTGAGTTGACAGCACCCTAATCGATGGTAGAAGGCGTCTACCACATTTCTCCATGATGTCTAGAAATTATTCGAGATTCATTGATAATTCGTTGCCTTAGCTCTGCAAGACTTGCTGGTTAAGTTTTGTAAACTGAATTTTTCAAGTATCCCTAATAAAAATAATCTTTAGGATTGAAATCGGATGAACGTGGAAGCCATTCAATTCTACCTTGTCTACCAATTTATCGTCCAGGAAATATCTCATTAAATATCGCCGAACATTTACACCAACTATTTGACGTTAAATTTCTTTCGACAAAAAATGACTCAATTGAATATGTAACTACTATATCTGACCATACATTTAATTTTTGTGATCTTTGAGTATGGTTTTCACGCATTCAGTGTGAAATGTATGGTCAGTTATAGTAGGTACTTATTTAATTAGGCCATTTTTTATCGAAAGAAATTTAACGTCAGATAGTTGGTGTAAATGTTCGGCGTTATTTAGATGAGATATTTCCCGGATGATAAATTGGTAGACAAGGTAGAATTAAATGGCCTTCACGTTCACCCGATCTCAATCCTAAAGATTATTTTTATTAGAGATACTTGAAAAATTCAGTTTACAAAACTTAACCAGCAAGTCTTGCATAGCTAAGGCAATGAATTATCGATGAATCTCGAATAATTTCTAGACAATCATGGAGAAATGTGGTAGACGCATTCTACCATCGATTAGAGTGCTGTCAACTCACAAATGGAGCACATTTTGAACACTTAATAACGTAACTATTATGTTAAAAAATATTCTAAACTATCAATTGTTACGTTTTAATGTATTTGAAAATAGTTAGTATTAAAAAATGTATTGAAACAATTTAGGCGTTGCCAGACTTCTGTTTTATGTATTTAAGACCTTCCAGACTACATAAAATCATACGTGTTACATATGGTTGAACTCGTATTTAATAGGAGATTCCAATAATGACTGAATATACAGGGTGATGCATTTGAAAAACCAAAGTTACTAGTAATATAAGAGAAACTGAAAATCTGGCAACATTGCAAATACCAAATATGGGATCTCCGTATCCCAAATTTTGTATAAATATGTCTAGTAATTTACGAGATAATTAGCTGTTTCCAAACTTTTGAGCCACTCTGTATATACAGTGTAGGTAAAATTTTAAGGTCGGTATGGTAAAATTTAACAGGATATCTAACGCAGATATAAAATCATATTTTCAGCGAATTAGACAAAGATAACAATCATATTTCCCCTTCGTCTCCCCTCCTAAAATCCTTTTAACACTCATTGGCCATTGCCCATTAGTGAGACGATTAGTTCCGATCAGATATTCTCTGGTTCCGATCCTAATATACCTAAAAAACTAGAGGTGGGTCCTCTCGTTTTTTTTAATTTTTATCGGAACCGTTTTTCGTAAACTGTAACTAGTTGATTGTTTACCAGTATTCAAATTAGCGAGTACACAAACATATCGATACATTTTTGGCAAAGTAACGTAAGTCACCAAAAACGATTTGTAGAAAAAACAATTTTTTAATTCAACCTGCTTAAACTTATTTAAATTATGACTGAAAAAACTTGTCCTAAAAAAGGTTTAAAGTAAATCTAGGCTTACTACACTCTTTCAGTACCTTTTTAACAGTAATAGCATTAGTTTAATTGAAAAACATTATTTTCGCCAAAAATGTCACTTATGTTACTTTGCCAAAAATGTATCGATATTGGCTATTATCGTTTATGTGTATAAGTATTGAAATAAAAGAACCTAACGAAGGATATATTTATTGTAACTTGAAAAATAAATTAAATAATACAAATGGTACTTAAATACTTACATTTACATTACACATTATTAAATCGCGAATCGTCTAAATTGACATTTAAAAACATAAGTTTTTCCACTTTTCTTGTTAGTCGCGTTCTTCTTTTATTTAAAATTATACCAGATGTTAAACATGTGTTCACAAGGAAAAGATTTTGTTACAATACTACAACATTTTATGAATATAGTGGTTAAGTTACGATATACATGGCGATGGTTTTTTCACCACGGTAATGGACAGTTCCAATCTCCGTTCGAAATTGTTTGTGGGTAATATATCATCAGACAATTACATGTCGACTTCTTTTATACCTCTCGATACAGGTGTATGTTTAGATGAGTCATGTCCAATTAATTCATCAAAAATACACCATGGACTTAAGTCATCTTTATCAGTTTCTTTTTCTTGGACTGATTGATTTTCAAGATTTACTAAACTTTTCGTTTCATCCGTTTTCCATAGTTAAAGAACCAGCTTTTAAAAAGTTTGCAGGGTGGATTCCTGGATATAAACCGCCAACAAGAAAAACTTTGTCAGGTTCATTACTTCAGGAATGTTATGTCAAAAGTGAGCAAATTATTAGATCACAAGTTGTTAAAGAAGTAGAAAATATCTGTATTACTACTGACCTCTGGACATCTGGAGTAACTGAGAGTTACTTCGCATTAACAGGACAATATTTAACCGAAAATTTAGTATTCAAAACTTTTTTATTAGGCTGCTGCCATTTTTCTGGAAACCATAATCCAGAAAACAGCGATTACTGAAATTATTAATCAGTGGGGTCTAAAACGAAAAGTAAATTTTGCAGTAACTGATAATTCCTCAAATATGGTCAAAGCTATTAAATATGTTTTGTTTTATGATGATTGTGATTTATGATGATGATTAAATTTATTGGTGGGGGACGCACTTAAATGCTGTCGTGTACAAATAGATAAAATAAAAAGTCCTTTTTTCGACAATTCTGCAAAAAAACACATTTCAAAAAAGTACCTTATCTTCAGAAAGGCTTTTAAAGTATTAATTACAACAGAACACAGTTCCCAAACGGCCAATCCAAGACGTGGAAACTAGGTAGAACTTCACCTATTACATGTTAAAAAGAATGACCGAGTTAGAAGAGGCAACCCGTTCCACATTGGTATTAAATAATACAGACTTAGACTTAAACCTAATCTAAATAAAGAACACTGGATTATTTGTTCTCAACTTTCCCAAATTTTACGGCCGTTTAAAGAAATAACAAGTACAATGAGTGACCAAAAATGCTTGAATGCTAGTTCAGTGATTGTTGTGGTACGCTGCCTGCAAGAATCTTGCAATAAAATTTTAGCAAACGGCATACTTACATCCATAGTATCCGACATAGTACAATTACTAATATCGGGTTTAGCAAAAAGATTTAGAGGGATAGAACAGAGTGGCACATTGTCATTATGTACATTTATGGATTCACGATTTAAAGTGCAGAACAAAACAAAAAGTTAAGAAGCTGGTTACTTCTATAATTAACGAACAAGAAGATTGTACTATTGAAAATCAACCAGTACAAGAAAAAGAAACCAATAAATATGACTTAAGTCCATGGTGTATTTTTGATCAATTAATTGGAGATGACTCATCTACACGTACACCTGCATCGAGAGTCCATTACAAGAAAAACTTATGTTTTTATGTCAATTTAGACTATTCGCGATTTAATAATAACGTGTAATGTAAATGTAAGTCCGATTTACTATTTGTATTGTTTAGTTTATTTTTCAAGTTATAATAAATATATCATTAGGTAGTTTCTTTCACTTCAAAAGATATACACATAAACGATAATAGCCGTTATGTTTGTTTATGTA